ACAGGGGATGAAACTATAAAAAATTATTTGTTTGTTCCCCTTCATTGCAATCCCTCAGACTTTCCCCAGCATTTACACAATCCGATACCTCAGTAACATTCCCACCTTCAACCCTGTGGTCAGTCTGCTTAACATTTTCTAGTGCAAATACTGAAGTCTCATTCTGGACATTAAAAAAAACCTACAGGTTTTATAAACCTGAGACATTTTGTGTTAACAAACTTATTGAAAAAAACAGTATTAACCAAAATATTACAAATAGACCTATTGTTCATTTTAGTTCCTTTGGCAGAATTAATATCGACGAAAACACAATTATTTTCGGAAATATGATCGATTTTTAAAATAAGATTCCTGATTTTATTATTAAATTTGAAACTATTATAATTAGTTCTACAAGTAAAGGCATACGGAATTGACATAAAAATTAGATTGTTATGGGCACATTTCTTAATAATTTCTAAAACAATTTTAGCAGACAAAAAATTATTATTATACATATCGTTGGAACCATCCATCACTATCACATAATCAGTATCTGTGAAGTCTTTAGACAACAGTTCCATACTTTGAACATTATTAATTCCAGCCCCAGGTTTCATAATGTGCACAATCCTATACAAATCTTCCATCGCAGATAAACGGTTCCTCAAGACAGAATCCAAATTTCTTCCCTGTTCATCAGATAGAATTAAAATTTTTTTGGCAATCACTCTTGATGTGAGCTTTTCCATGTCAACTTGAAAGGGAGCTTTACATTCATTAAGGTTTTCTGGTTGGCATTGAATCGAACATTGAATGGATTTATCACAAACAGACTTTTTTGCAATTGCAGTCAGATGATTCAATTCTTCCTGTAATCTAAAGCAAGATAGTTTACTTTTCTTTATATTTTATATCACGAAAATAAACACCGTTTTCTGTCTCTAAAGTTTCAATACTAGTTAACAGGTTGTTCTTCAATGCATTCACGTCATTCAGTTCTTTTTTAAGAGACTTCACATTATCCTCCAACTAGTCCAACTGCCGTATTTGCTTAAGAAGATCATTGTTAACCAATATCATTGCTGCCTACGCTAAGCAAAAGCAAGATAGTTGAAAAGCTCATTAAGGAGCGGATGGTGGTTTTCCAAGAGCAGAATGGGCTATTATCTTGCAATCAGTTTGGATTCCAATCTTCGAAAAATACAATGTCCTGGAGCAGGTATACCTCAGACTTCTTAATGATGGTGAGAAGGCTGCAGCAGTGTTTTGTGACTTGTCAAAGGCTTTTGACTGCGTCAGTCATGAGATACTGCTGCGCAAGCTTGAACTCTATGGTTTAAGGGGCGTTGTCCTGAAGTGGTTTGGTTCCTTAAGTTTGTTTTTTATTTAAAGATAATAGACCTACCTCCCATGATTAGAAAAAGGGAGCTTCATTGTAATAAATACAAGTTAGAAAACAATAAAAGATGACATGCGCGCGCAACTCGTAGGCTGCAGTGTAGCCAGATTGTATTGTTGCAGAACAAATGTAGACAATACAAATCGAATATTATAACATTAAAGAAGTAATATAGTCTCAAGTGTTTCACAACGCCTTAAATCAGACAAAAGAAGAGCTTGAAAGTGGATAAACATTGTTTACACTTTTATTTTGATAAATGTTTCATCCGGCAACATCGCTCAATGAAATTGCAAAGAAATATGTCAAGTATAATCTAACATAACCTTAAACGAAACTACGTTGAGTTCCAGTAATATGTAAAGTATTAGTTTGCTCTTTGTCAAATTACACGTTACAAAGAAAGAAGGAACGATTCATTCTGAACTGGCCCTTGAATAAGAATATGACGTAAGTCTGTCATAAACTTACTTCTCATTGGACGCTCACCTGCAGCCTACAAGCGACACGCGCAGTCCAGGTAATAGGAAATCGGTCTATTCCCCAAGTCAAAAATTTAGTAACTACGTTGACAAACAAAAAAACCGGACGTGTTCATATTATCGAGATGTTCACACCATCGAAGGTCTACCTAGCACTGCAAAATATTGTCAGCAATGTTCTCTAAACTTAAAATTTAAGAAAAATTAATACAATAGATACTTGCAAACATATCCATTAAGTAAATTTTCTCAGTTCAATAATTAAAGTGAGATGTGAATTTTGTCTGTGAGGTTCTAGCTGACCATTGGATGGCTACCTACTTTGTCTTGAAAGTTTCTTAGGCTTTCTGTGTCATTAACGCCAATATATGCTCTTGTCTTGCTGGCAATCTTCTAGAATTTTTGACTTCCCATGAGGTCTATTCTTACAAAAGTCCCTGACAGTTTCGAAACTGTCAGTAACAATCGCTCAGCTAAGTTACTGATTTATCTTGGAACGATGTCAATGAAAACATGCATCGGCGATGCATTCTGACAGTTTGCAAACTGTCAGAGACTCTTATGAGAACAGACCTATAGAGAGTTAAAAAAATTGTGTTTTTCGCCATTTTTACAAAACTGATTAACCACAACGAACTAAAAACTTATAGACTTTTGAACGTGCTCTTGACTCGCTGCCACTTGTGTATTCCAGATTAGAGTGAGTGCATTTACTCAACATATCTGTGCATTCCTTGTCTCAAAACATTCAGGGAACCTCAGAATTGGACGGAAACAACCGATGAAAATAACAAGTAGACAGGAAACGGTTAAATTCGTGGTCAAATGCATTGTTCATACTAACGAGATTTTCAAAAATTCATACTATAGAATATATAATGTATTCATTCTGGCTGTTCATACTACTGGGAGGTTCACAGAAGCGTGTGTTCACACTAGCGCGAGTCTACTGTATTTATATGGCCGCGTCATTTATATATGAATGACAGCAAAAAAACGTCAAAAAATGGTGTTTTGGGGGGATAATAACGAGTTTTAGGACAATAATGATTTTCCTGCAGTTGTAAATAGTTATTTTTGTATCTAGGGCGCGAAATGCTACTTTGGTTAAAAAAATAGTCGAGAGTCGAGATCACCAAAGTATTTCGCACCCGAGTTGCAAACAATATTTTTTCCACAACTCCATTTAAATATCGATCATTCGAAGCCAAAATTGCATTTTCAATCAAAGGCAGGTGAATTTTAATTATTTCTGGTTTCCTGACAGGTATGTGTCACTATGACACACCAGTGTGCGAACTAGCTATTTCGCGCACGGCGTCATGGAAACGTTAGAAACTCAATACCCGGTAGAAAAGTGTCACTTCGCAAACTGTTATGAGTGTGCGAACATCATCATTTTTTGACAGTTGTAGAAAAAAGTCGTTTGTGCACTTCCTTTGCTGATGATACCACAATAGTTTTGCATCGACACTGTCATGCTGACTGCTATGGTGAACGATGACTAAGCAAGAATCAAAATGTGGTGTGACTCCAATCAGTTGTCATTTAATATTTAAAAGACATCCATCATGAATTTCAAGTGTAATCTTGATAATGTTTTTCGAGATAATACTATTATAGGCAGAAGCATGGAGATTAAATATCTTGGCCTGATTGTTGATGATCAGCTCAGGTTTGACAAACACACCGAGCATTTATGTAAAAATATATTATCATCAGTATGCTTTGCTCTTAGACAGAGATACTGTTAGAGCTAGGTGAATCTACGCGGATGTATTTTTCTTTAATCGAGTCACATCTTAGTTATGTCATTTGCTTCTGGGGTTGTTGCTCATGAACATTGTTCAACATCATATTTGTTCTCCAGAAGCGTGCTATACAGTCAGCATGTGGTTTTAGTCCACAGAACTCTTGCAAACCATTCTTTATATGCAGACGTATTTTAGCCTTGCCTTGTATCTTGATTTTAAAATCTGCGTCTCATGCAGAAGAAGTACCTACTCCTCTAATATTCATGCTCCCTTCTTGGTCAATACCAAAAGTTCACATGTAATTGATCTACCAATTCCCACATCCTCGCTAACTCAAAAATCTGTTCACTATAGGAGTAAAAAAATGTTTAATCACCTACCTCATAGAATAAGAATAATGAAGGAGAGTAGATATTTCAAGAATCAGGTCAAAAAATTACTTTTGGCTAAAGCTTTTTACTCTGTAGCGGCATACTTCTCATCTCCTCTGTCGAATGGTTAATAATTCTAAGTTTGTTTTTAATTTTAATGTTGAGCAGTCTTTCGATCTTGCTTTCTGGCTCTTAACCTTTCGCTTACCATTGCTTGACTACTGCAATATGTATAGATTGTATCCAGTTGTTTTTATTCCTGTTCTATTCTTTTTATTTTTATGTACCTACTTTATTGATGAATTCAATTTTAATTATATTGGGTCTTCAAAAAAAAAACCAATCAAAGATTGCTATGGCTTTTTAAACGCATGTCGTAGCAATAGTTTTCTTTAATTTTGTCAATAAACTTTAATGTCAAAATGTCATGTCAAAAATCATGACCAATAAAGAAACAATTAATAAAGCGAAGTATGTTTTCGTAATCAAAGCAATCTTTGATTGTTTTTTTTTTTGAAGACCCGATATTGTATTGAAAGCTTTGTTATCAAGATTTGTATCTTTAAACAATAAAGCATATTTTGATTTCATTCATTTGAATTCAATCAGAAATCAGAAATTAAATACCTACATCTGCATATTTTTTTAAAAGTTTTTTTTGTCTTTTGTCGGATTTTCTATACTTAGTAGATACTAGATAAGTATCATATATTTCAAAACAGTTATTCACATTTTTGATAATATTTGAAAAATCTGGATGTAAAATACCAACTTTAATCATTGATTAACCATTCTACCAGCTATTTGTAATTTTACTCTCATTGTGGTTTGTAATTAAATTGTATGCGCAATACCATACCAATTTAATATTTCATCTAGCTGAAACATTAAACATAAATTAAACACCCATTTCATGCAGTACAATATTGCTTCATTTCTTTATTTTATCTTTGTCAATCAGGCAAATGGAGTAGCTACAGTGTCTAGGTGTAAAGCAATTATAGAGATGAAAATCATGGAAAATTGAAAAAATGTCAGTCATAGTATTTAAAAAATGAACATTTATTACCAAATATAAGAGCTTTGATATATTGATTTAAACCGAATTTAAGTGGGTTTATACAGAAAATAAGATAACATAGGTAAAACAACAAGAAATAAAATAAGATAAAAGTTGGCTTAATCGTCCTACAAATTAATATAAATAAATACATAATAATTGTAGCTACTTAATTCGCTTAATTGTCCGCTGATGGTACCTTTTCAAATATCTTAACTCCTAAAAATTAGAACCATGTCACCCTAGATCTGAAAAATCCTCGATATTTTTGTGCACTATAAAGTTGGGCTTGACAATGTTGCTTTGCGTTTGCGTCCCGGGACTTTGCTGAGAAAATCCCCCCGGATTCGATACCATCACCAGCTTTGTGGGTTGACTTTGTATAAACTTTGGCTGGTTCGAGACTTGACTACCTGATACAAGTTTAACCACCTGACAAAAATAACGTTGTTAATTCAGAAAGCTTATCTAATAATAAAATTTGGTCTAGAAAAGAAACAACCTTAGCATGAATTGGGACTAAGGATGGAACAAATCAACCTGTGAGTATAGTGAATTTATGCAATATATTTACTTAAAAAAAACTGAATTCTTTAAATTTTGACATACAGCACATCACTGACTGTGTTTCTTTCCTAAATCAAATCCAGTCAACTTTAATTAAATCAAAAACAGCATACTGGTTAAACTTACAGTTGTGGTAGGTGCATTTGATTGGCTAAACTGTTGCAACGAACTACTCGGTTGCGACCTTTGATTCATAAACAATACTTTTTGCTGTTGATTTTGCTGAGTTGCAATCCTTTGCGGCTGCTGGCTCATCACTATGGTCCTTTGAGGATTACCCTTAGTAAAAAAAATCGGATATTTATCATTTAAGTTTAAGCAGACAATATTATTTTTAATCCAAAAATATCATGCAAAAGTGTGTAATATTCAAAACTGTAACATATTACTACTATTGACTCCAAATTAGGTTGTTTTCTTGTTAAATGAAAACTTTAAGCATGTAAATACCTGTTGAATAATTCCACTACTCGTCATAGTCCTAGCCACAGTCTGTCCAACCGGAGTTATGGTATTTGTAGGGACACTGGCAGCTAAAGTAGATACCGGCGTCGGTTGAGTTCTAGCCTTAACAACCGCCCCGTGTAACGATATTCCCATGTAACCGTAATCTTGTTTGTAGTCTTCTAGATTGTCGGGTGCGTTTCGTATACTCTTTAAGACGGGGGCGATTATTTTTACTAGGAGTTGTTTTATGTGTCCTGCTGCCGTTCTGTCATTGTTTGATATAAGGTTGCCTTCAAGATGGGATTCAATTTTCATTCCTAAAATATAAATGAAATTTATTCATGGACTTTCCATTTTAAAGTACAGTAATTCTTAGTTTATAAGTAGTAGCAATATTTAAGTATGCATACATACACAACCCATTAATCATATTCCAATTTTTAGCTGAACATATTGTTCATTTACCATTTGCCAGTCTCAAAAATCTAGTGTGCAAGCTGTGCTCACAGATTACGCTTGCCCAACTCGGCTTAGTTGAACAGCGGGACGATTGTATCGTTTTCTGTCAAAGAGCAGCCCCACTCTCTGCGTTGGCCAAGAAGGCTTGGGCACAGGAAACGATTTGAGTAAAACACCTTTTGAAGCTAGATGAATACTGATTTATTCCGAATCTTACATCCCTTTTTATATTGAATTTTGGTAAACTAATCGTGACAAAAACTGCAAAAACTTACATTGTGTGGATATTTTTATATTACCCAAACATTGTGACTAACTAAAATCTCATATAGCAAGCTGACCGTGATATTGAATAAAATATAAATATACGAAGTCGGTCAAATTACGCCGGCGAAGGTTAATCACTGTTTAATTGTTCTAATTAAACATTCTGCCGCTTCTCCAGAATGCAGAGATATTAGCTCTATGTCTTCTTTTTGGTCTTGGTGTTGGTCTCTTGTCTGCTTTTGACATCTTCTGTTGATAAGTTTTGTTGTTTGCCATCCTGCAATCACTAGCATAATGATGACTATGGTGGTGATGCTGCTAGTGGCTGCAGAGTGGTGATAAATACTGCGCCATACTTTGTTATGAAGTCGATCACCGCGGTCCTCTTCTTCTCTTACTAGGTCTCCAAAACTATCGGATTCTCTAAACACGGACTCGGTGACTATATCTGACGGTGGATGTTTGTGGAGAGTACTATTGAAGATTATGGGTACAGCTTTTACATAGCTGCCTACCACTGGAACGATTGCGCTTCTTATGGGAGTTAGAATGTTCTGTTTTGTCTGGATGGTGCAGTCTTGAGAAATTTGAATTATTCCCGTTGTATTTATTTCTACATCTTCCCACTCGCTGTTGCATATAATAACCGCTATTATTGTAGACGAACCTGCGATGAACATCCATGGATTCGCTGTACATAGTCGTTTCCAGAGGATTCCTTTTAGCCTGTCGTTCATAAATTTCGTCGATGACGCAGGACGGATTAGATTTGATGTATCCAACAGAAACTGGAGAACAGATGAGCTGGTGTGGGTAGAGCTGCATGCACTGTTGGAGGTCGCTTTCATGGAGCTGAAAGTATGTTTGACTGTTGTAGTCGATGGCGGTGTAATCATCGTGGAGGTCCAACGCCCAGTATGTTTCATTCTCAATTCTGAGTGGAATCGGTGTTGCCTTCAATAGGGTGAATTCCGTCACGTCAACTATTGGAAAATATCCACACACCTTGGGATGCGTATTATTGGTGATTAATCTTGTGGACATTGCTGCTGAAAGAATCTTTAGATTGTTTGGGAGCTTTCGATTGGATTTTTGAATGACGGCGTTGATATATGCTAGTGAAACTTGGTCATATATCGTACCCCTGTTGAAGTTGATGTTCAACGATTTATCATCGTTCTCATTGGTTTCGCTGATGAAGTTGGTAGCTACTTGGTATGCACTCAATAGGTTAATGTTAAGGGCATTAGTGTCCATTTGCTGGTACCAACTCTGCATGCTGTTGATAGCTTCTATTCCTTCGTTGAATAGTTTCTGGAAATGTTGTAGTTTGTTCGTTATTCTGGCTTCTGTTTCGTTGAATTTTGTGAGGGCCGAGATCATGAACTTTGTTTGGTAGTTCGATGCTCTGATGAGTTCTTCCTGATGCCTCGATATCTTGATATACTTCGTCATTCACTCCAAAAACCGCAGCCAAAAATTTTCCAAATAGTCCTCTCTTAGTTCTGTGGTGAATGTCAGCCATGGTAGCAAATATCCATTTGGAGTGATTTTCCATTTCTTCTAAGTGTTGTACGAGGGACGTGCATTTGACTTCATCGGTGAGCTTCTTGGATTCGTTGCACATATTTTTGAACTGGCTGACGACTGTGGATACCTCTGATAATTCCGTTTCAGTTTTGTTCTTAGGATACGTTGTCTCTATCATAAAAATCCCTCTATTAATTTTTGCTGATCCAAGGTGTTCAACGTGAAAACCATGTTGTGGATAGTTGATTTTAAATCCTGTTTCTGCAGCGGCGGTTGTAATCATCATAATTATGACTGCTAGGAAAAACAATACATATAATGTTGCTGATGTTGATGCTACATTCCGTAGTCCGCCTTATCTCCGTACCTCTGAGTGGTTTTGGGTGGTTGGTAAATGGTGTATGTCTTTTGTCGGTAATGGGATTAACTTGTGGATCAGTCTTTTTTGTGGTAAGCCACCTGCTTTCTTTATTGTTACTACTTGGGTTGCTCCATCTTGTCCCTGGTGAGTTTCTATAATTCTGCCCAAAGGCCATTGGTTTGGGTTTATATTTTCTTCTTTGATTAGGACCATTGTTCCTACTCGTAGATTGTTGGTCTGATGCTTCCATTTGTATCTTTGCTGCAGTCTGGTGAGGTATTCTGTGCACCATGCGCTCCAAATGTTTTTCTCTAACTTTTGCACGTGTCTCCATCGTTGAGATAGGTTAAAATGTTCTGTCGATTCCAAGTTTGGTGGTGCTAGAAGTTCTCTTCCTTTGAGAAAGTGTCCTGGGGTCAAGATGTTGAAATCATCTGTGTCTTTTGTTAGCGGGTAGAGTGGTCTTGAGTTCAAACATGCTTCGATTTGATACATCAACGTTGTTAATTATTCATAGGTCAAAGTGCAGTCTCCAATTACTCTCTTGAGATGGTGCTTCATAGATTTTACACCTGCCTCCCATATTCCTCTGAAATGTGAGGCTGCTGGTGGAATGAAGTATCATTGTGTTCCTAAGTTGACGATTGTGTTTTGCACAGATTGTGATTGTATCAATTCTGTGAATTCATCTTCGAATAGGCGTGCTGCTCCAACAAATGTAGTTCCGTTATCACTCTACATATTCGCACAATGTCCCCTTCTGGCTCTGAAATGTTGAAGTGCTGCCAGGAATGCCTCTATTATCATGTCGCTGAACTCTTCCTTTTGTTGTTCTGACTTGAATCGGTCCGGCGTAGTCCACTCCTGAGTTTGTAAATAGTGGTGCTGGTGTTACTCTCGATTTCGGAAGTTGTCCCATGAGTTGCTATGTGGTCTCGGCTTTGTGACGGATGCATACGATGCACTTATTTATAACTGCTTTGACGGCCCGCTTACCGTTGATGATCCAGAATCTGCTTCGTATGTACGACAATGTCGCTTGGTTGCCTCCATGTAGTGTGGTCTTGTGTGCGTTTCTCACCACCAGCGTAGATATGTGAGAATGGTATGGAAGAATTATCGGGTGTCGTTGGTCGTAGGGAATAGTCGGGGAGCTGGCGTCGAAAATATGCAAGAGTTTTCGCAAGGCTCATATTTTCAGAATGAGTAGCATTTTAGTACTACAAAGCTAGGCTACAGTCAGCAGTTCCAGTTCCGGGACACCTGGCGCTGAGATGCGCGCAAAGGTGTATTTTTAATCAACACCTCGCAACAGTTTTCGCAAAGCTGAAAATTTGCAAAGAGCATGCGAATATAATGTAGAACCATAATTTAACAGTCAGACAAAGAAATACGGGGACACGTAGAGTCAGCGCGACTTTGAAGTGGTCAAAAAAATGACGTCACCGAAAGTGTTTTCGCATGGCTGAAATTTGGCAAGGTAATAGTAAAAACAATATATTTATTGAAAAAAAACAGTCAGACACTTCTATGTCGGGACCCCGCCAGTCAGCAGTCGATTAAAGTGATATAGGTGGTAGCGCGCGTCAATAGGCATATATCCATGTCGAATAATAATTTCACCAAAAGTGTTTTCGCATAGCTGAAATTTGGCAAGGTAATAGTAAAAACAATATATTTATTGAAAAAAAACAGTCAGACACTTCTATGTCGGGACCCCGCCAGTCTGCAGTCGATTAGAGTGATATAGGTGGTACCGCGTCATTAGGCATATATCCATGTCGAATAATAATTTCACCAAAAGTGTTTTCGCATAGCTGAAATTTGGCAACGTAATAGTAAAAACAATATATTTATTGAAAAAACAGTCAGACACTTCTATGTCGGGACTCCCTCAGTCAGCAGTCGATTAAAATGATATAGGTGGTAGCGCGCGTCAATAGAATTTTACTCTATATACATATATCCATTTCGATGAATAATTTTATTTTTATAATTTAAATTATTTGGAATCGGAAACGGTAAAATAAAATTGTACATGCAGTTAAAAAGTTTGCGGTTAGAAAAAAGCCCGATTCGTATAAATATTACTTGACCATTTAATCAGCAGTACTGTGATAGTATACCTATAGTAATTAAATAAATTCAGTTTTAATTATATTTATTGTAGTTTCATTAAATACTTATAATCATCGCCGATTTTATAAAATACAAAAAAAAAAAATTCTAATCACATCTGCCGCTTCCCTTCCCCTAATCTCGACCTAACAGTACCATAATGAAGTTTCCGAATTCGAATGCATATACGCCTTATTCAAGTATACGCGCTTACGCTTGCAACTTACAGGTTTACACTTACTCAAAGAGAAAAAAAAATGTATTTTACCGTTTCCGATTCCAAATAATTTAAATTATAGAAATAAAATTATTCATCGAAATGGATATATATAGAGTAAAATTCTATTGACGCGCGCTACCACCTATATCACTTTAATCGACTGCTGACTGAGGGAGTCCCAACATAGAAGTGTCTGACTGTTTTTTTCAATAAATATATTGTTTTTACTATTACCTTGCCAAATTTCAGCTATGCGAAAACACTTTTGGTGAAATTATTATTCGACATGGATATATGCCTAATGACGCGCGCTACCACCTATATCACTCTAATCGACTGCTGACTGGCGGGGTCCCGACATA